AAAAATATTCATTAATAAAAGGTTAAATAATTTCATTTATTTTTTTTTGATTTAGTTTTTAAAAAAAAATTAACAAAGAAATAATAATAAAAAAAAAATATAAATAAATATAATATACATATATATATAACAAGTTTATATATATTTCTATTTAATTTTTTTTAATTATAATAATATAAAATAAAATAAATATTTATAGATTTATTTAATATATTCAAATAATTAATTAATTTATTATATATTTTTTATTTATAAAAATTAAATTTATATTATTTATAAAAACAAATACACAATATATTTTAAAAATATTTAATTTTTTTTTCCTCTTTCAAATATGAAAAATGAATTAAACATTCATAAATTATATATATATATATATATATATAAATTTATAAATCAATTAATTAATTAGTAAGATTGTATTATTTTTTAATTTAAAAAAGTGCTTTATATATTCTTAATAAATATAAAAAAAATCTTAATTTTTTTTTTTTTTAAACAAAAAAAAAAAATAAAAATATAAAACTTTAAAAAAAAAATGAACTAAAATTAAGAAACATAAGTAGAATAACCCTAAACAAACAATATAATGTTCTTTTAGTTATAAGATAAACACGAATAATAGTATAATATAGATAAGAAACATCAAGAAGAATAAGAATCAGAATCAGAAATAAAATAAGAAAATAAACAAATAAAATCCTGGGAACATAAATGGGTAATAAAATAATATTAATTAACATATAATTAAAATAGATAAGAATATAAAATGTTTTCGATTTTAATTAAGACACATATATACGAAAATGGGTCTAAACAACCCAAAATACATGTCTAAACGATTTAAAATATTAAAATAAATTTAACAACAATAATATAAAGAGGAATAACCAAAAAAAGCTAACAACAAACGAAATAACAGTTGACAATCAAAAAGAAGAATAAATAAAAAGCATAAGCAATATTGATAAAAGTAATTTCGAAATTCCTGAAAACGAATTCGATAATTATTTTAAGGAAAATAAACCCAAATCAAATAAAGAAACTGAAAGCTAGTAAAAAATAGATTCTAGGCCAAAAAAGAAAATAAACAGAAACCATAAAATAAATCGCATAAAGGAAATTTTACCAAAAGAATATTAATGTAATTATGAAAACTGTTTTAAAGTATTTACTGATTAATCTTCTTTTAAAAAGCATCTCGTTAATCATGGAGAGAAATTATTTTAGTGTAATGTAGAAGGATGTGGAAAGAAATTCGTTGATAATTCAAAACTTAAAAGACATTAATTAGTTCATACAGGAGAAAGGCCTTTTAAATGCGAAATTTGCGGAAAATGCTTCTCTTTAGATTTTAATCTGAAAACACATTTAAGAACTCATACTGGAGAAAAACCCTATAAATGTAAATTTCCTGGATGTGATAAGTAATTTACTTAGTCTTCGAATTTGGCGGCTCATGAAAAATCACATTGTTAAAAAGAGTAATAATAAAAATAAATAAAAGATAGTAATGACGATTAATAATAGTAATAATCTTTTGAAGAAAATGTGTCTATTTGATTTTTTTATTTAATATTTATATTTATTTAGTATGTTTTTTTTTTTTTTTTTTCTTTTTTTTTCTTTTTTTCTTTTTTTCTTTTTTATTTAAAAAAAAATAAATAAATATTTTTAATGTATTTAATCTTCTAAAAATTATTAAAAGTAATTTATATTTTCCATATGTAAATTACGATTTTAAGATATGTTATTATAAATTATATATATTTAAATATTAAAAAATAAAAAAATATAATATAATTATATTATAATGAATACTAACTTAAAAAATAAAAAAAATTAAAATTCATATATTAATAAACAAAAAAAAATGTATAAAGATAGAAAATCAATAAATATTTAGTAATAATTGTATAAAATTACTTTAATTTTTAAAAAAATGGAAGAAATAAATAAAATATAATTAAAAAAATAATATAATAACAAAATACAAGTAATTTTATAAATATAATAATATAAATAATTTAAATTTTTATTAATATATATATATATATTAAAAATATTAAAATATTAAAATCATAATATTTATAGAAGAAATATAATTAATAATTATATTATAAAGCATTATTTAATTAAAAATAAAAAAAAACTTAATAAATGATAAATAATTATTCAGTAAAAAAAAATAAAAAGTATAGATTCAATATCTTTCTATTCTTAATTTAAAATTTTAGATATATCAAAAATTAGTCTAAACAACTTTAGTATAATAAATAAAACTAACAAAAATAATTTTATTTATAGTATATTTATCAAACTTGGTATAAAGCTAATAGTAACAAATCTTAATATATTTTAAACTCTAATAAATTATGGACCAAAATCCTATAGACAAATATATATATATATATATAATATATTTATTGTATATACTGAATAATAATAACTATTATTATACTAGGATATGAAGATAAAACTCCTTTGACATAAACAAAAACGATTTATTTTATTTTTGTAGCCTTATTAAAGATTGTTTTTTCTTTGCATATTTAATAAAAAAAATTGTGGAAATAATAAACGATTTAGGGAAAGATAAATCTGTTTATGATTAGAAAATATTTTGTATTAATAAAATATATGGAAACAAAGAAATTAAGTAAAATTTTAAGAGAAAATACTTCACTTATATTTTCAAAGAAAGTAATGAATATGAAGGCTTAGTAAATATAAATACTTCACAATTCGATAAAATAAGAAACTATGATTTATAGGTTTTGTAATTTATTACTTTCTAAAATAATATTTAGATTTAATTTCTCAGTTAAGTTTATATTAAAATTTTCTCTTAAAATAGAACAAAAAATTAATGTCTGTCTTAGTTAGAGGGTATATTTATAAATAAGGCAAATTTCATATTTAAAAACTTTATTATGTTTAAATACAAAATCCATATATTTTTAAATATATTAACTATTATATATATATTATTTGTTATATATTTAGTTTAAATTTTCACTGATAATTTATATAATCCTACATTATTAGTAATAATATTAAAGTCATTTTATATAGTTTTTTCTTTTTTTCTCATGTATTTTTGGAATTTAATTATTTATAATAATAGAAATTATTACATAATCATAAAAATATTTAGAGTATACTAAAGCTAAAAACACATTATATTTAACACCTTTATATATATAAGATTTCGAAGAAATTTTAAATGAGTTTGATAAAGAGTAATTTAAAAAAAAAACAAAAACAAAAACAAAAACAAAAAAACATAGAATAATCAATAAGTATTATGTTTTCGGGTCTTTAAATCTTAGATTTATAAGGTTTATATATAAAAATTGCAAATAAAAAATATTGAAATATGTAAAACAGAAGTATAAAATCAAAATAAAATGAAAGTATATATATATATATAATAAATAAAAAAAATAATACCTTTCTTTCTAAAATTTTATGATTTTAGATACTCAAACTTATAAGGCAGTTATTTAAAATAATTAAGAATAATAACATATTATATATTAAATTAATATTCAAATATTTTTTTTTTAATTGATAAAAGCTTATATAAAGCAAAAATATTGAAGAGAAGGATATAAGTAAACCCTTTAAGTAAAAATAACTTATATGAAGACATAATAATTTATTTAAATAAATAAATAATATTAATGATATCTCTATTATATAAATTAATATTAATATATACAGTAATATGAATTTAAATAATAACAAAATAAAGAAAAAAAGTGGAAGAGCTTCTGGAAATGATAAGCTGTTTTTAAAAAAGGGGGGACATTTTATAAAAAAAGAATATATATTAGTTAGTTTAATAAATAAAGATTTAAATGAAAAATTATTAATTAAAACAATCAAGATGAAATAAACAATAATAAATCTACTATTATTGATATTTTTAATAAAACTAATGAATTTGATATTTCTAAAAGAAGATTAAATTTATTTTCTTAGTGTAAATCTTTAAAATATTATAGATAGAATGAATTACTGAAAATTCTTAAATAATTACTTAAGTAAAGAAAACAAAACAAAAAAAAGAGAATTTTAAAAAAAGAAAACATTTAATATACAAATTAAAATATCTAAAATATAAATAATTAAAAATTAAAATTATTTTAATATATAATTTAATTTTTATTAAATAATTAAAAAATATTTAATTATTAAATAAATATATAATTATTAAGTATTTAATAAAATATTTTTATTTAAAAATTATTATAAATAATTTTAAATATAATTATAATATCTTTTTATTTTTTAATTAATAAAAATTAATATATATTTATATATATATATATATATATTGTTTTCTATTTTTTATATATCTTAATTTTTATGAAATCTTCTTTTAAATTTTAATTTATTAAATATATAAAAAATTAAATATACATAATACATTGTATATATATAATATATAAATATTGTTAATTTTTATGTATATTATGTAAAAATTTAATTTGTTTTTATATTTATATTGATAAAATATTTAATATAATGAAATTTTTGCTATAACAATAGAAATATAGAATTTCTATATATATTTAAAATTAAAATAAAAGTAATAAAATTTTAAAAATAAATTTATTATTATATAATAAAATTTTGTTTAATTATTTTCATAATAAAAAAATTTATTAACGAAAAAAACCAATATATATTTAATAAATAAATATATCTATTTGCACTAATTATTTTATTTAAAATAAAAACAAATAAAAAATAAAAAGATGTCTTAACAAAATTTTATATATATAGAATCTTATAAGATATTTTTAATAAATTATTAATTATAAATAAAACTTAATTTTTTTTTTTTTGACATAATCAAAAAAAATAAAAAATAAAAATATATAAAAAATAAATAAAAACCAATATAAATTAAAATATCTTATTTTATTATATAATTGAATATATCCACTTGTTCAAACTCTCAAACATTCATATTTAAAATAGAAAAAAATATAAAAAATAAAAAATAAAATAATGTCTTTGTTAAACATTAACTATATAGAACGTGATAAAATATTCCGCAGTAAGGAATAAATCGAATGTAAAATATTCTCTAATATCAAACAAGCAAGTATAGAAGTAGCCCGTGAAATAAAAGATCTAATCCTAAAAAAATAAAAAGACAATCTTCCCTGTGTATTAGGTTTAGCAACTGGTTCAACACCCATTGGAGTATATGATGAATTAAAAAGAATGCATAAAGAAGAAAATTTATCATTTAAAAACGTAGTAACATTTAATTTAGATGAATACTATCCTATAAAAAAAGTAAAAAAAATCTAAAAAAATTAACAAAAAAATTAACAAAAAATTAAAAAGGAACATTTCTAAAGTTACAACTATTACATGAACGAAAGATTGTTTAATCATCTTGATATTCCTATATAAAACATAAATATCCCTGACGGAAATATAGAATAAAAAGATATATATAGCTATTGTATTTAATACGAAAAAAAATAGAATCTTACGGTGGTTTAGATTTCTAATTATTAGGAATTGGTGCTACAGGTCATATAGGTTTTAATGAGCCTGGTTCTACAATAGATTCGAAGACCCGTTTAATAAATCTGGACAAGAAAACCCGAATGGATGCCGCCTCATCATTTATGGGAACCGAAAACGTACCTAAATATGCCATAACAATGGGTATATCTACTATAATGAAAGCTAAAAGAATTATTATAATGGGTTTTTCTGAAGTCAAAGCTAAAATAATTGCCTAAACAGTCGAAGGTAAAGTTACAGTAGAATATCCAGCCTCTTTTCTACAATAACACTCTAATGTAGCTTTTTATATGGACCATCCTGCAGCTGAAAAATTGACTAGATATGTAGCTCCTTGGACTATTAAAGGTGTAAATACAGATCCGAATATGAAGTACGATGATTATTGGACTAAGAAAGCTGTCATATGGCTTTCTTTGAAATTAAATAAACCCATTCTAAGTCTAATCGAAAGCGATTATGAAGATAATGACCTTTTAGAACTACTTAATTAGGTTGGAAATGGTCACGCAGGAATTGTCAATTTGAAAGTCTTCAAAGATCTCCAAAATAAAATCACAGGATGGCCTGCTGGAGGTCGCCCTGATGAAGACAAAGACGATTACTTTAAAAAAAAATCTGTAAACTTAAAAACTGTACTTATTTTTTCCCCTCATCCGGATGATGATGTTATTTGTATGGCTGGAACTATGGAAAAGTTAGTCAAATAAGGCCACTGTGTCCATGTTGCATATTAAACAAGTGGAAATATAGCCGTATTTGATCATGATGCAGCACGTTTTACAGATTTTGTATAAGAATTTATTAAAAAATTCAAACTATATGACTCTTGTGACTAAATATTTAAAATATGTAATTAAATAAACACATCTTTATAACAAAAAACACCCGAAAAACATGATGACTCTAATATTTTAGCAGTGAAAGGACTTATAAGAAGATGTGAAGCACGTTCTGCTGCTATACATACAGGAGTTCTAAAAGAAAATATATATTCATTAGATCTTCCTTTTTATGAAACTGGTGCTATAAAAAAAAATCCTAAAGGACCTGAAGATATCAAAATAATAAAAGATTTAATTATTAAAATTAATCCAGATATGATATTTGCAGCTGGAGATTTAACTGACCCACATGGAACTCATAGAGTATGTTTAGAAACTATTTTAGCAGCTTTAGATGAATTAGAAAAAGAAAAAATAATATTTTAAATAAATTAGAAGTACTATTATATAGAGGAGCATGGTAAGAATGGGATATAGAAAATATTTGTATTGCCTGTCCACTGGGTCCTGATGAAATGTAAAGAAAAAAAGAAGCAATATTCCGACATTAAAGTTAGAAAGATTGCGCTATGTATCCAGGAAACGATAAAAGAGAGTTCTGGTAAAGGGCTTGGGATAGAAATGTTAATACAGCTTAGAATTTTAGAAAATTAGGATTGACCGCTTTTGAAGGAATTGAATGTTTTGTTAATTTAGAATATTTAATTAATTAGGATATTAAATGATTTTTTTTTTTTTTATTATTATTCATTTATAATTTTCTATTATTTGTAGTATTTCGTTTATATTTTCTTCGGATATTTAAAATAAATTAGCATATTTTATACTTAGGTCTTTTATACTTTTCTTGTTTATTTTAAATATTAACATCTGATATATTATAGATGTTATTTAACAATATATTATATTTTTCTCCTGATATGGCTAAGCACCACGACTGTTTAGTTCACTTAAAATACATTCAATAATTAAACTTTCCCAAAAATTCATATTTATAAATATTTTACAATTTAATAAATAACTTGAAGCATATTTTTTATTTTATTTTAAACAATCATTTTCTTTAATTTTTTTTTTTTTTTTTTTTTAATATAAAATAAATTAATATATTGATGATTTATTATTATAAATAAAAAAATACCAAAAATAGGTTTAGTTATTTCATCTTCACTACTAATTTAGGAGGTATTTAATTTTTTTTCAATATTTGTTTATAAATAATTTTAAACAAATGGAAATTCTTCATAAAAATAAACAGAAAAAGATATCATAATAATTTTCTTAACAGAAAAAATATCTTTGTTTTTATAACACTTAATATAAATAAATAATATATATATATATATATATATATAAATATAATAATATATTAATATAATTAATTTTTAATTCAAATATATTTAATTATTTATAAATATTTTAAAAATATTTACATTATCTAATAAAATTTAAAAAACTTTGCACGCATTTTCGAATTATTTTTTTTATAGTTATTTTTTATTTAAAAATACTTAAAAAATGCTCCTTTCCAATCGTTTTCTTCTGAATCTACTAACTCTTCTAATTTTTCAAAAAATTTATAATTATTTTCATTTTAATCAAGTGCACATTAAAAAAGCCCCAAAAAATCTTAATCTTCTTTAAATTTCTATTCGAAATTTTCTTTTTATAAATTTTAATAGGTGATCAATGTTTTTTATATAAATGAAAGATTATCTTAATATTTTAAATACTATATTTTTTATTTCCCTGTTTATTGTTTTTAAATAACTTCTTCAATAAACTAAATACTATTTACAGATTATATTTTAAAACTAATAATTTCAATATCATATTCAATATTTTTTACATAAGATGTTTCAAATACAAGTATTTTCATTAAAGAATCTTTCATTAAATTAATTCTATCCTCTTCTTATTTCTAAAAATAATTTAAAATTCGTCCCATTTAACTATTATATATATCAACTTAATTATTATGAATAGTTATATATTATTTATATTAATTATTATAGTCCAATTATTCAGATTAAGATTACTTTATTCTAAATTATAATAATAAAAATAATATATTTATAATGATAAACTTTTAAAAAAGAGATACAAAATTTTATATATCTATATAT